CCCCGCCCCCCTCTGAAGTTCAACCCTGGCAAATACTGCAGTGGCTGCTGAAGTGAATGGAGAACCTTATGATCTGGAGCGGCCTTTGGAGACAGATGCTGACCTCAGATTTCTGACATTTGATTCTGCAGAGGGGAAAGCAGTAAGTTTCTTATCGCAAATACACTGGCTACTAAACTAAGAGATATTTAAGTGGGTGTTTCTAACGTTTATTTCTTTTGCCTCAGTTTCTCCATTTCCACTTGGGAGGGAAACCTACCACAGATTGCTTGTCTTGACTATTTCTAGCTAAGCTGGAAACTTAAGATGAAAGTTTTTACTTAGCCTAGGTGTATTATAAGCAGACATCATTTGTGCTAGTGAAAGGGAGAGGTAATAAGTTGAAAATAGAAGGATGCCATCGAGACACCCATTATAAGTTATCTGTAGCTTAATTCTGACGTGGCTTCCACAACTGCATGTACACCCTGGCCTCCGCCCCGTTTTGTGCTCTTCATGTCAGCTTAGGTAATGTAGATCTCATGTATTAGGATGCAGAAAAATTGAGTTCTCATGTCACCTGTGTATAAATGGTGACTAAGTCCTAAAGCAGTGGTTGTGTCACACTGGATTCCTCATGTGGGGAGGGAAAAAAGGACTAAAAGACTAAGCACAGCCTTTAAGAATCAGTCTTGCCCAGCCGGGCGTGGCTCAGTGGTTGAGCGTCAACCTGGGATCCAGGTGATTGGGGTTCGATTCCTGGTCAAGGCACATGCCCGGGTTGCGGGCTCAATCAATGGCACTCTCATCATTGATGTTTCTCTCTCTCTCTCTCTCTGCCTCTCCTTTCCTCTCTCTGAAATTAATAAAGATATATTAAAAAAAAGAATCAGTCTTAACAAAGTAGTTTACTCTGAAGCTCTAAAAGGAGATGTTACAGGAGAGCAAAGGAAGACTGACTGGCCACCTACAACTGGAGGCCCCGAGGAGTAGGGCTGGGGGGTACTCTCTTCTGTGTACTGTTCCCTCTGCTTTCTTTTCTATTCAGTTTTTTTCCTTTTCACTATGTAGTTGTCACTACCTCCATTATATGAAAGTTATTCGTAGAAGAGCCATACTGGTTTCACAACAGCTCCTTGGAGGAGAGAATGTGAGAGCTAGGGGTTGCAGGAGAAGCTTACGAACTCATGAACTTCTTCCTTGTGGATCCAGGTGTTCTGGCACTCCAGCAGCCACGTCCTGGGGGCAGCAGCTGAGCAGCTCCTAGGTGCTATCCTCTGCCGAGGTCCCAGCACAGAATGTGGCTTCTACCATGATTTCTTCCTGGGAAAGGAACGGTGAGTAGTGCAGGGAAGGAGGAGAATGATGGTTTCTTTTTTAGAGACTTCACCTTTTTCCTCCCTAGGTTTTTTTGAGGTATAACTAACAAAATTGTAATATTTTTAAATACAATGTGATAATTTGATATTTGTATACATTGTGAAAGGATTTCCATAACCTAGTTCATTAATCCATCACCTCACCTATTTTTTTTCTTTTTCTGGTGAGAACACTGAAGATCTACTCTTAGCAAATTTCAGCTACACAATACAGAGTTATCAACTACAGTCACCATGCTATGCGTTGGCTCCTCAGACCTTATTCACCTTCTAACTAAAAGTTCATACCCTTTTATTTGGGTGGTTTCTGAGGCCCTTTTCTGGGGCCTTGGGCATGTTCAATTTGGAGGAGCAGGCTGGGGGAAAGGCCTCCAGGCCTGAACTGTTATTTTGGTACCATATTCTCCAATTGTCCATGTTCCTTCTCTTCTGTCTCTAATTCTGCCTGAAACTTATCTTCTCCAGCCTTTAGGAATTCGACTTTTACTGCATTTTTCATTACTGTTGCTTTAATTTTGTCCATCCAGATGGCCTGCACTCAACTTTTAATTTCATGCATAGAGCACTTACTTTAGCTATAAAATTTGCACCTGATTTCCTACTTTTGTTTTCTGTTAGGTTGTCTAAGAGAAAATAATTCTAGATGTTTCTGGAGGGCAGGATTCCCCCCCCCCCCC